TCTTTTTATTGAAATGTAAGGCGTTTTTCGCGGTGGTTTCGCATATTTCTGATTTATCGATCTTTCTAGCTCTCTCCCTCTCACTTTCTCTCTCTCTCTCTCTCTCTCTCTCTCTCTCTCTCTCTCTCTCTCGTTCTCTCGCTCTCTCGGTCGGTCTCTCACTTTTTATTTCGATCGTTCTCAATAACCTCACTATCGTCAAAATTAGGCATGGAGCTGATCGAACCACCATCAAACGTCCCCCGCACCGGTTGCCGTGGCCTATGGACGAAGAGCATCTCCAGAAGCTTTGATTTCCACTCGAAACCCACCCCCAAATCCGCGGCCTCCTCCCCGGACCGTGTCCCAAGTATCAAGCTCCCAAAGAAAGAGCGAAAATCGAGCTCGGTCCGCTCGAGAAGTCCATGTCCCGAGCTATCGCCTCCCAAGACCCCCACTACCGAAAAGGGCAAAAAAGCGACAAAAACGATCGCTTCTGCCATTCCCGCTCTTTGCGCTCCCATAGCCGTTTTACACCGAAAAAGCTCGTCTCCCCACCCTGTCGCTGAACTCTCACAAATTCTCGCCCCGACCCCGGCTCAGACCTCACCGTCGAGTGGCCAGAAGCGGAAAAATTGGAGGAAAACAGCGTCTAGCTCCTTTGAGAAGTGCCCATCAGTAGGGTGGGAGGCACCGGAGCTATGGGAGCTACCGTATTCTTCTACAATATTCCATCAACCGCTAATTCCTGCTATTCGAGAACCACCATTTCTGGAGCATTCGCCGCATTCGTCGCTGGCGAGGAGGAGAAATTTTGCGATGACGAAAGAAATGGTAAGGATATGGTAGTTTAGGTAAATGATAGGGGAACTAGGCTTTTAAGGCTGATGCTTAGGCTTAGTTTAGGCTTAGGCTTCGCTTAGGCTAGGCTTAGGTTTAAACTTAGAATTGTCTTAGGATTAGGTTTCGCTCAGGCTTGGCTTAAGCTTAGGTTTTCGCTTAGGCTTTTCTTAAGCTCGGCTTAGGCTGAGGCTTTCGCTTAGGGTTGGCTTAAGTTTTTGTTTAGGCTCGGGCGAAGCTTAGTCGCTTGGGCTTGGATTATGCTTGGTTGCTTCGGCTTGGGCTTATGCTTAAGCTTAAGGCTGGGCTTCGGCTTGATATTACGGTCGGCTTAGTCATCGGTTAGGCTTAGGCTAGACGGTAGACTTTGTTAAGTCTAGTTTCCGGTGTTGGCAAAATATAGCTATACTTTTGTGTTTTCCGTCCTTTTAAAGGTGTCCTGAGATCCCAAAAAGGTAGCCAAACTCCTGTGGACTATCCAACTTTTACGGCTTTCCGAAGTAGTCCAATGGGCGCTTTGGCTCAAAGCATGGGCGACTGGCCATAAAATGCACGCGCCACTGGGTCGAGGGGTGCACCTTTTCTTGTAGAGAATTCCCGTATGAAGTTGTATTTTACAAGGTATTCTAACGTTAAACCTTTTAAATTTTCCCTAAAAAATTAGCATCCCAAAAGTTCGCCCACCATATCCTGCAGTCTTCTTTTCCAACCCCTGGTTTCCGTGTTCCTTGGCTGAATGCAGGCACTCAATCCGCAGCAAAAACTGTTCAAACCTCGGCAAGGTCACCCGGAACGCCCACTCAAAGATGCGCAGCCTCATCCTCGTCCTCATCCTTATCCTAAACCCTTGCTCCTCGCGTTTGTCCTCCCTCAAAGTCTTGTCAGCCAATGTTCCGGTGTTCCTCCGGCTTTGCTTTTGAGCACGAGGTTCTTTATGTAGCGTCTATAGACTCGCTCTAGCTTAGTGATTTCTGCTAACCTGCCTAGATAGGTTTTGATCAACTGTTAGGGAAAAATCGAAAAAAAGTCCAAATGACCAAATGATCCTGCCCTGGTGGATACCTCGATCTAGCTCTTTGCAGTTTTGAACACAACTGGTTTTTCTGAGAGTCGAATTCCTTAAGGATCTCTGCTAGCTAGCCCCGGCCCTACCCCCCCCCCGATAATACTAAAGCACCAATTTTTGCAATGGTTTCTCCGAGTGAGCCCAAAGAGCAAGGAGTGCATGGCTCGGATTCCTCAATGATCACTGCTAGCCTACCCTTCAACTTTTATGCAGACCCTTGAATAGTAGAAATACCGAAATCCAATTCCTTAGAAAGTGTTCACGATTTCCGCGAGACAATAAGTTGGAATCCCCTTCCCTTTTCCCCCTGTTTCTTGCCCTTGTACGACGCGCAACTCCTGGCGCTCGTACCCCATCCTCTCTCTTCCCGCCGGCGCCCACCAAATTCTAGTGAGCCTGGCTTTTCGTCTCTTTTCCGGGGTCTCGCTTTTTCCTGTCTTCCTCTTCCTCCCGTCCCTCTTCCTCTCATTTTTCTTTTATTAATCCCCCCGTGTTTTACGTTTCCGCTTTCCGCTTTTCCCCGCCTTTTTGCCTTATATTTCCCCACACGTTGGCCCAGGTCTCCGTGTTCTTCCTTCCCGCCTTTTGCCTTTTGTCTTTCCCCCACTTCGACCTCGGTTGTTGTGGTTTTTAGCCTTCGCCTTTTAGTATTTCCTCCCCGTCTCATTAACCCTTTCCCTCTTCTTTTCTTGTGTATTCTCCCCCCGTCTGTCGAGCTCAAATCTTTCGTCTCCATGAGACAAAGTTTGACACCTCGGCGTAACTTTTCCTTCTCCCCCACTACTTTTCATTCTCCGTCTCTGCCCCATAGTTTTATCATGTAATAAACTTCTAACACTCTTTTGCCCACAACGCGTTGAGCATTTGAGCTTCCCCACACGCCTTGACACCTCTTCTTGTTGTGGTTTTGTGGTTGTGCCTCGCTTGTTAGCTTGGCACATACCTTCTTGCGTTTCCTCCTACATAGGAGGTGGGGGGCCGAACATCCAGCCAACCCCTGGGGCCTAGCGAAAATAAAGCTAGGTTTCCCAACTGGGGGCCGAACCGGTCTCAAACCGGCGCACCTCTCCCCGAAGAGTGGAAACTCGCTTGTCAGCGAGCGTACACATACGCAAGTCTATGCCCAGCAAGACTTTGGCAACGACGACGACTACAGCCGCTCCAGACTATTGTCTGTTGAGCGCGCACCAAGCAGCCTAGCTGTGAAGATGGACTCCAAAGCTACCGAATATAGGTGCTTTTCTCCCTTTTCGATATTCTTCGAAATGCGGATGAACTGTTCTAGCTCCCAAAAATCTTTGGTTGAGCGCCGCAGAGCCGAAGTCAGCGACACCCTGCTCAAAAACTCGCAAAAATGAAGTGAAAAAGTCTTCATTTGCGCGAAATGAGCAGAAGGACGCAATACATGGCAAAGCGGGTTGAACAGCGCAGAAGTTTCACGAAAAGCCGTCCAAAACATCGGGACGTGCTCAAGGAAAAGCCCAATTCGAACGCATTCGAATTCCAAAGCTCGAACTGCCGAACTCCTCTTCATCGCCGGCTACAAAGCCAAATTTTGTCTCCAACTTCGCCGAAAGAAGTTTGGAAAAGGCCACCAACGTCTCGAAATACTTTGTGCAATGTAAGAACATTGCCAAGTATGATTTCAAGGAAGCACCGACGAAGGAGTCGTTATTCCGAAGCCAATCTGCAGTTGGTGGAGGATAAACACTCCTGGATACAAGTGAAAATGCGTCGAGTTTCTCCGCATGAAGTTGCTCACGTCTCTTCAAGCCGCCATCAGACGTGATGGTTGGCCGGCCCTGCCTTTGCCTTCCCTTGGCCCTCGGGTTACCCAAAACCCAGCCAATCGCCTTCGCCTTTTTGCCTTTTGCCTTTATAGGACGTACAGCGTGCACGCTCGCGGCCTCGCCTTCGCCTTTTCTGGAGTTCCCCTTCGGGATGCCGGCTGCTTCGATTGGCAGTTCGGTATAATCGATCCCCGGAGGTGGTTCTGCCATTTTTGCCTTTTTTCTGGCCCTCGGGTAACACCAAAACCCAGCCAATTCCGCCTTTTCCGCTAACAATTCTCCCAAGGACGCCGGAATTCTCCGGTTTGCCTTTTTCCTGCCCTCGACTTTTGCCCAAAACCGGTGAGGCTGTAACACCGTAAAAAACAGATCGTCTACGAGAAGCAACCGCGTTTTGAAAAGGTTTTCAAACTTTTGAAAACTCGACTCCAGCGAAATAGAACCTTTATGCGATATAATAAAGTGATTCTCTTCGCCTTTTGTCTTCATCTCGCGCCTTTTGCTCATACAACAATGCTTTGAGCGTAAACATCTCCAGATCTCTTCTGTGTCCCGCGAAATTCCACGCATTTCGGTCCAAAGCGTGCAAATTCTTTGAAATTGTTTTCAAATGTCCTCTACTTTTCGCCTTTTCTTTCACGAAATTGTTTTAGGAAAGCTGAACGCGAAACAACAAAGAACTCCGCGTCTTTTGGCCCGTGCACATGCGCGTCCACCTCTTCTTTCGACATTTTTGGATGAAAAGGGCACCACCATCGCCCAAATCAATTCGCAAATTCAGATCTCGCTTTCCAGCTTCGAAATTTTTCGTTGCTGCGGTGCTCGCAATTTCCCCCGCGTTTCCCTCGACCATTTTCTCATTTTGGCCAGCGTTTTCAGGCAAAACCGCTCTTTTCAGGAAATGATCAGCTTGAAAAGTTCGGCAACGCTCATCGCGCGCTTTTTCAAAAGCCGCCCACTCCTCGCCATTTCGAAACTGACGCGTGAAAAGCATCCAAATTTCCCTAGCTAAGAAATTTGAAATGTTTTTCAGAAATTTGCGCCCACTTTTCCGCGTTTCAAGCATTTTTTTGAATTCGCAACCCCAAAAATTGTCGCTTCCCGCGCAAAACGAAAGAATTTCGCGTTGATCTGCTATTCTTCTACTTGATTGCCTCCCTGTTCTCAATTTTCGGTTTTCAATATCCGAACTTTGTCTAATATTCCTTTTCCAGGGTATCCAATTTCCCGATGCCCGACGTCATGTACCCGAGAACCTGATGCTCGCGCTCAAGGAATGTGTTCGACATCAAGATTTCGTGTACAACTACCCGCTCGACTTCAAGATGCCCGTGCACACCTACATGCTCGACTACACGATGTTCGCGTTCAAGGATCTCAAGGTGCCCGTGTTCAACTACTGCCCGCGCTCGTGCTCGTCTACATGGTCAAGCTGCTCGACTGCTGCCTGTGCGCCGTGCCCGTCTACACGTTCGCCGTCAAGTTGCCATGCCCGTCTACACGTTCGCCGTCAAGCAAGAATTAAGCAAGTACCCTTTTTCGCTAGCATTGTTTAATTCTCTATTCCCCTCTCCCCTGACCCTGTCCCGTTCATTTGTATTTTTCCACTACCCTACCCGCCTACCCTGCTCGGATCAAGACGACGCGGCAAGGATTCAAGTCAAGTGCGCCCCAAGTCGACGTCAAGCGCCGCGCAAGTCGACTTCAGTGCAAGGACAAGCTCGGCTCTTCACCGTCTCTCAAGGACCAAGTCAACTTCCGTTCCGGACAAGCGCGTCTCTTCGCGACTTCTCCAAGGACAATTCGCAAGTACGTTTCTCCTGAAGGAAGGAAGGATGCGTGCGCCATGCCCGTTTGTGCCAAGCCAACGTCGTCTACGCCAAGTCAAGCTCGTCCCCCCGCCACCATCTTTTGCGTCGAGGGACCTCCGCTCCCGAGGGGAGGGTAGTTGGAATCCCCTTCCCTTTTCCCCCTGTTTCTTGCCCTTGTACGACGCGCAACTCCTGGCGCTCGTACCCCATCCTCTCTCTTCCCGCCGGCGCCCACCAAATTCTAGTGAGCCTGGCTTTTCGTCTCTTTTCCGGGGTCTCGCTTTTTCCTGTCTTCCTCTTCCTCCCGTCCCTCTTCCTCTCATTTTTCTTTTATTAATCCCCCCGTGTTTTACGTTTCCGCTTTCCGCTTTTCCCCGCCTTTTTGCCTTATATTTCCCCACACGTTGGCCCAGGTCTCCGTGTTCTTCCTTCCCGCCTTTTGCCTTTTGTCTTTCCCCCACTTCGACCTCGGTTGTTGTGGTTTTTAGCCTTCGCCTTTTAGTATTTCCTCCCCGTCTCATTAACCCTTTCCCTCTTCTTTTCTTGTGTATTCTCCCCCCCGTCTGTCGAGCTCAAATCTTTCGTCTCCATGAGACAAAGTTTGACACCTCGGCGTAACTTTTCCTTCTCCCCCACTACTTTTCATTCTCCGTCTCTGCCCCATAGTTTTATCATGTAATAAACTTCTAACACTCTTTTGCCCACAACGCGTTGAGCATTTGAGCTTCCCCACACGCCTTGACACCTCTTCTTGTTGTGGTTTTGTGGTTGTGCCTCGCTTGTTAGCTTGGCACATACCTTCTTGCGTTTCCTCCTACATAGGAGGTGGGGGCCGAACATCCAGCCAACCCCTGGGGCCTAGCGAAAATAAAGCTAGGTTTCCCAACTAATACCCATTTTTTTCCGGGTCCTTCCCTCTCAAGAAAGCGATCCCCCCATAGCGGCTCGGACCGAAAATTCGCTTTTCTAGGGCAAATCGGCTGTGTTTTTGCTGTCGGGGGCAGTTCCCTATCCCGTGGATAATCATGACCGGAACGGGACTGTCTCAACACGCACTCTCATTATTTTGGCTTTACCGGCCGGAGTACGCTAAGCTCCAAATTCCCACCAAGCCATGGCCAAAGTATTGGTGATAAAGCGGCTGTCTTCACGCGATTCCAACAATAATACTAGTCCGGTCCGGCAACCGGATCCGGTTTTTGACGTTAGTTTTTGAAGGTTTTTAATTGATTAAAGATCATTGGATTTTATAGGGTACTGGACTGTTATCGGGGGGGGGTGGACGATTTAGCCAAAAATCAATAGTTTGGAAATTTTTATGTTTTTAGGTGTTTTTAAACGAACTAAATTTAGACTAAATAAATCCTACAAAATAATTATTATTAATAATATCGTCAGTTAGTTAATATACCATTTGGAAAGTCAGACTCTACAAAATAAATTTCTTTAAATTACAAGGTTTCTTTTTAGATGAGACAGGAGCTTTTTAGTTTAGTTGCAAACCCGGGTTTATTGTTACGTTATTTAGAAAAATTTATATAAAAAAATTAAGCTAGCTTAAACTCAACTTCACGATTTTGAATTCTAAGCAATTTAGAATTTGAAGTCATTTTTCTAAAAAACCTTTTAAGCTTATCAATTCCTTCCCTCCAAATGCCATTTGTCGTCACCAAAAAGTCAGATGGCAATTCGGGGTGGGCCAGCGCCAGTAGCAGCGGCACTGTGCTATGAATCAGTGTCACCCTCTCGCCCAGGAATTCCGCAACAGTCCTCTTTCCACCCCAGCCGAAAGACAAAATAAAATTGTTACCCCGCTAACGGTTTCGGGGGGTCCTTCTCTTGCTTCTGCTGCTTCTGCCGTGTGACAACCCCCGGTTGGGGTCGACGAACACGATTTCGTGTCCCGTTTTCCAGCTGGACTCCGGCCCCATACCGTTATTTTGCATTACATTCCGTTACACTCCTATTGACACGATGTCGCGACCGATCGTGATGCGATCCGTCGCCCAAACCGTTGCCGATATAAATCGCATGGTTGAGGTGGTTTTCCACTTTTTAGAGTTTTCCAATTAGTTTTTGACAGGACGAATGGGTTCTTTTGCATTATCGGGGGGGTAAGTTCCTCTTTAAGACCAAATTTTTCCAATATAAATAAGGTTTTTTAAACTGTTTTTAACCATTTCGAAGCGTAAAAGCTTTACAAAACTTCCTCGAAAAACTTCACAAACCTTTTTCGAACAAAAATAGCCGGTTTTTGGGTAAAACTCAAAATTTTCTAACTTTTAGATAGTTTTGCCTCTTGTGATAAAGTTAGTTTTAATAGAAACGCTTATAAAAATTGCTGTTACGTTAGTACGCATTTTTAGACAAATGCAAAAAATTATACTCCCCCCGATATTGTGACAGTACCAAACAAACATCCCTTAACCCAGAGGTCGTTCATAATTTAAGGATTAGACCACGGAATAATATTAATAAACAAATCAAAATTCGCTCGAGACATCAAAGATACAGCGAGGAAAATTAGCGTTAGAAATTCATAATTTTTTACATCTTTAGGGATAGTTGGCTCCGTTTTAAGTACCATCACTCCACCCGACAACTGTTTACACCCATAATTCCCCGGCGGGGCGATCGTAATCTTCCGCTCAAATCAACGGTAGATTGGATTGGATGTGAGGGGGTACCAAATTGATACCATTTCCCTATAGCCGCGCCTAGAATTTATGGGCTTTGGGATTATCGGGTGGGGTGGACGGCTCGATTTGAGCCAGAGGGGGAGACTCCACTAATTGTTCACTATCATTCGGATGTCTCTCTCTCGCTCTCTCTCTCTCTCTCTCTCCCGCACGGCGCGAAAATAGGTCGGATCTCGGCGGGAAAAGGAACGAAAAGGAAAAGGCTCTTCCCCGCCTGGGGCTCCCCCCGGCTTCGAACACCGGATCCTTTCACTAATTTCTCAATAGGTCACACCCCCGCCAGGAGATGCTCACTCGGCTTATGCAAATTCCGATCTCACCCCCCGAATTCGCGAGAATTCCGCCGGGCTCCTATCTACGGAGTCCGGTCCAGGAAGGCTCAGTCAATTTTGCATTCCACACCTCGCTGACTAGGCCCGTTGCTGGCATATTACTGTATTTTCTCCCCTTAGACTTTAAAATTATACGTATTTTGCTCGATTTTTGTGAATTTGCATAATCCGTTTTCAGTACTAACGGGCTTTGCAGGTGTAAAAACTCTAAAAAACGTTTTTTTTGTGGATTGCTTTAATTTGCATACGGGGCTTCACCTAATATCGCTAAGTTATCCATTGTTTTGCACATTTACTTAAGTCGTTTTGCAGAATTTGCATACGCTTTTAATTCTTCCTTATTTACGTCATTTTCCGATCAACACACTAAAAATCAAAAATCATCCCGTCAAATTAGGCGTGGAAAACGGACCGGCGGGCGCGCTAATGCTTTTCCGGCTTGAGGCAAAAGAAACTTCCGCCATTTGGTGATTTTCGAAAAGAGCTCAGATTTCTCATTTTCCGAATTTCAGTTCGACATGGGACTTCATTATACCTTTAAATTACCGTATGTCAATTTAAGGGCTCTTTTCCAACCTCATATTTTTTTTCCTATGCAAATTTCCGGACCATACGCGCGAACCTGTAGCTAGCAGCTAGCCGCGCCGATGGCTCGCAAGCTACCTTATCTCGCATTCCGATCTCCCCGGTCCTACGGCTCGCGCATTTCCAACAGCCACCTCTTTCTCCCGGGCTTCATTCCCATCCATACAATGCCCGTTTCGACACGATCACCCCCCGATAGTCCCCGGCAATAATTTTTCGCCATTTTTCCGGCAGGCTGGCTGCGAATATTTGAATATTATTTAGCCTAAGCCTACGTCGAAATCGCTTCTAACCAAAATACCGACAGGCTAAAATCCCGAAAATTCAAAATACCGACAGCCAGAATCTGAAACATATCATTTTACCTCCTTTTAAACGGCGGTTTTCTTACATTATCTGGCTTTTGGACTTCGAGATTTTCACTGTCGGGATTTTTGTTGTCGGGATTTTCCTGTTGGGTTCTGAGTTGTCTGGATTTTGGCTTTTGGCAACTTGCCCTGTCGGAACTCTGGCTGTCGGCATTTTCATCTGTCGGTTTCTTGGCTGTTAGAATTTTGTTCTGTCGGTATTTTCACTGATGGCGTTTTGGCGTTTCTGCCCCGACATAGACCAAGGTTAACTGTTCTTTAAAAACTCGATCAAACGGTAGAAACCAAGTAAGAACTATTATATGGTCAAAACCAATGCAAAAATCCTCCCAAAAAAGCTAGAATGTAACAAATCCAACAATAAATTTTCGGGATCTATTCAAATTTTGCGTTTCAGAACAACCGCTACCAGAGCATGGAAGCGGATGACCCGCGAATAATCGGCAAAGACAACGTTGTGCTCGTCGAATTTTTGGTGAGTTTTTCGCGTAGATTGCCCCTCAACTTAATATTTGAAATTTTTCTAATTCCGCGATCAGGATTTTTCAATCGCTAAGGATCTCTGCTAGCTTGCGCCTTAATTTCAACGCCTAATACTTCGATTTTTAATTTTCTGAAGTCTCAAATCCTCAATTCACCCTGCTAGCATGCCTTACCATTTCTGCGCCATGCATCTTTCCTCAAGGATCTCTGCTAGCTAGCCGTTTCTTGCCGTAATTTAAGTTACATATTCACCCATGAATCCGAACTTTCCAGGAGCCGGACGCCGGCGAGCCGCATCCAGAACACGTTCCCTTCAAGCCTGGCCAGAGTCTCGACGAAGCCCTTGAAAGTCAGTCCATTATTAATTAGCTTTTTTGGGTTTTGAACTTTCAATCGGATTCTCAAAGCCCTAAAAAGCATGCAAAACACTTTTCATCAATTTCCAAAGCCCTTTTTTGACCAATTTCCTGATTGACGTCCGGGGCTTTTGACTCGCTTATTTCTTGTTTTTGATCCCGAAGCGGTTTGGAAAATTGGAATCGCCAATTTTTGTAGTTGTTGTCAGCTCGGTGAGTCGGTGACGGGGCGTATTTTGGGGTTTTTTGTGGTTTTATGATTGGTCAGGTGGCTACATTATGCCATCTCGGTTAAAAAAGCGCAAAATCGGATTATTTTTGCTAAAAATTTATAGAAAACCCCCCCCCCCCCCCCCCCCCTCCCCTCCTTTTTTTTTTTTCTTCATAAAAAAAAAAAAAAAAAAAAAAAAAAACCCTTTTTTTTTTTTTTTTTTTTTTTTTCTCCCCCTCTTCTTTCTTTTTTTTTTTTTTATAATTTTTTTTTTTTTTTTTTTTTTTTTTTTTTTTTTTTTATTTTTTTTTTTTTTTTTTTTTTTTTTTTTTTTTTTTTTTCCCCCTTTCCCCCACAAAAATTTTATTATTTTCCTTATCCCTCCCCCTTTTTTTTATTTTTCCCCAAAAAAAAAAAAAAAAAAAAAAAAAAAAAAAAATTTTTTTTTTTAGGTTCCAGAACTCGGACCGGTCCTTCTATATTCTAAAAAAAGTTTAGAACTGATCCATAAAATAGAATCTATAGAAATCTAGCCTGAAAATCAGTAGTTTTGCCTTGCCTGTCCCTTTAAACCAACCGGAAAGCTAGCTTTGACCTAAAAACTGCTTGAGAGGGCCGTGGACGCCGATTTTTGCGGTTTTAAATCGATTGAAAGGACCTTGCAGCCTGAATTCTAGCTCATTCATTTTTACAGCTATTTATTTGCCTTGCAAGTCCCTTTAAAGTCACGTTAAAGTCTCCATTTCCATTTGGTAAAATTTTTTTGAGCGTCTAGACCCTTCAAACCCATGGTACCAGCTTCTCAAAATAAGTCTGACCACAATTTCCACTCCAAAATGCCATTTCCCGAAAAACAACCCCAAAAAAAAAAAAAAAAGGGGAAAATTTGATCTAACCCCAAATTTTGCCCAGCCTTGTTATGACCGCTTTTTCCCCCCTTTTACGGCTTGATCTAAAAGGTCAGCCGGCGCCTTCAAGCTGTCCACCCTACAATCAAGCGGAAATTCAAGGGTGGACGGCCAGAATCGATGGACCCCCTCTCTTTATACCTTACCTGGGGTGTGGCTCATTCGCACCGGCTTTTTGTAACTCTCGCCCCGCTCCGGGCGGCCATCTGAGAAAATCTCACACCCAGAAGCGTCACGCCGCCCAGGAATAGGGTTAATTTCAGCCCTCCCCGGCTGCTTGCAACGCCCCCATTTTTCTAAATTATTCCGAATTAATCTTGAAAACCCCAAAACGTAAATTGGAACACCATGGATTCGCCGACGCGCCGCAAAATGGATTTATGCAAAGCGTTGCTTATTAAGAGAGGTAGAAAAGCTTAGGATAGATTCGAATGGATTTAAGCCTGGTTGGCTTTAGTGGCTCTTTAAAGGCCTCCAGGGACTTGAAAACAGATTTTGCCCGGCCGGTGGTCGAACCCGGCCCCCTCGGGGGCGCGGATGGATCCAGTCAGCCAAGCTACAACCTGGCTACGGGCGAGGGGCGCCCCAGGCCGCAAAGGAAGGGAATGGCCTGTCACAGCACGGGCAGGCAGCGCGCGCCGTCCCTACTCCATAGGGTGTACGTTGGGACCTACACGGCCCTCCTGAACGTGGCTTTAACGTGTATTTGTAAATTTTCTACAGATTAAAAATGTTCGTCCCTTCAGTGACCCTTTAAAATCAGCTTGTCTTTTGGTTGCTAAAGCTCTCAAGGCGTGTCTTTGGCTTTAGCGGCCCTTGAATATGTGGATTCGTGCATTTTTTATGGATTCCAGACGGCCCTTGAATTGAGTGGCCCTTTAAAATCGGCTTTTGTTTTCGTTTCTATGGATTTCAGGCGCATTTGTGCTCCACTTTGCCTTTAAATTAACACCATTGACGTGACATCTCTATTCCCCCGTTAACTATCCAAAAACCCACACATCAAAACCGGTTTTGCCGGGTCAGAAGCTACCGGGGGCCGGGCGTGTAAAAATAAGCCGTATCGGGTAGCGAGGCCACCACTAACTATTTCCCGGTCGCATACAATTTACAACTCCCATTTTTGCAGGTCGACTGAGGGATCGCGGGCTGTCCGTCGAGGGCGTGTCGTTCTTTGTTGAGGTATGTATTTTTTTATTAGACGAAATCTTGCTTTCCAAGCTTTTTGTGTTTAAAATCTAACGAAAAGTTATTCCAAGATTTTCTTTGAGCTTTTTGTGATTTTTGTAAACTTCCAATTCAAAATTCAATAAATTTCCCGCTGCAAAAAAAAATTAAATTTCGCCGTCAAAACTGGCTTTTAAAGAGATTTTTCGAAGGTTTTTGTAGTTTTGGCAACTTGCCAGAGGCCGTAAAATTGTAGTAAAATATTGTTTTACGACTGTAGACTTCTGGCGGCTTGCCAGTATCGAAAAATCCGTCAAATTTTTGACTTCACAGCCCCTTTAGCCACTTTTTACGGTATTTTTCAGGGCTCCACCACCCCACTCCCCGAAGGCGCCGACGCGCGCAATCTACAAGGCTACAAAATCATCGTCAGAAGTGAGTCCGCATCCGGGGATTACGGTAGCTGGGGCTCAAAATAGGGGTATTTTGACGACACTCAAACCCTGTTTATCATTTTAATCCCATTAATTGCGCGCGATGCTCATGGTGTGTTTTGCTCATCTTCGTCTTCTCCTCCTTTTTCGGCTCGACTAAACAAAATCAGAGTAGATGGAGAAAGAGAAAGAGAGAGAGAGAGAGAGAGAGAGAGAGAGAGAGAGAAGAGATAGAGAGTGGGAGTGAGAAAAGCATCAAAATTCAGAATTCCGTTGAATGGGCTGTTTTCCGATTAGTCAGCGATTTCTATGGTTCGCTTCCCGGCAAATTTAATCCGCCTTTTGAATTTTCAAAATCGCGAAGCCGATTTTTTTAGTATTTTTTTGGGATTGAGCTCGTAATTGCTCGGTTGCTCAATTGAAACCTTATGCTTTTTAATCGAAAGAGAGAGAGAGAGAGAGAGAGAGAGAGAGAGAGAGAGAGAGGCAGAGAGAGTGAGAGAGAGCGCGGGAGGGATATAGAGAACGAGTGAGAAAGTTGATAGGCTAGACGAACTGTCATCCTCCCTTTAAAAGTCCAAATTTCCAATCCCACCCCGATGCCTCTCGAGCACCACTTTTTCTGGCTCCTCAAAACGATCCAGGCGTTTTCGCGCGCTGGGGAGCTCGAGAAAACTGGTATTTTCCTTCGGGGAGGAGATGCCCTCTGGCAAGGAGGATGGATTCGATGGTTTCATAGTCCCCCTCAAGGGAAATCGCAGCCTTTAGAAAACCAGTAGTGCTATCTCTCTCTCTCTCTCTCTCTCTCTCTCTCTCTCTCTCTCTCTCTCTCTCTCTCTCTCTTCGACGCTCTAATATTTGCAAATGCTCTTCTTCTTGAGCATCACCTCCATCCAACCAGGATGTAAAATGGAATACGAGATTTCTAGTCTTTTGTGGCGATGCGGTAGGAGGGCATCTTTTAGGATTCCGACTAGAATATTCAAGATTTTGTCTGGTGTTTTTGATAAGGGTCTTTGCAGAGTTTCTTGCGCAGTACGGTGGCGAAACTTAAGCCTAAGCCAAAAAGCCAAAGCCTAAGTCTAAAACCAAAGAAATTTACTAGCTATTAACTACGCTACGCTCCTTTGCCCACCCTCGCCCCATGAGCTCGTCTAATTTTTCTGTGTATCTGCAAATCGATAGCTACCTAACATTAATGCGCTTGGTATCTATCATTAATGCGCCCCTCATAGCACAAGCCAAAATATTCCGCTAGAATACCTCAAACTCCGCTAATCCCTCCTGCACCAAACTAGAAGGAACATGAACACACGATTCCCCGATCCCCCGAGTCCAATTATCTGTTCTCGGCCGCGTGTGCGTTTATTTGAGAATAACTGCCATCCGGATGGGGGCCACGACCCGGAAACCCCACCGCTTCTCCGGGATCCAAAAAAGAGACCCTGACTCGAATATGAGACCCGGGAAGCTCACTTTTTGGATACGGGGAAGATGACCCGGGGCGGCTCATGGCCATTTATCCAATTATGGCACTACTCTTTCTCTCTCTCTCACTCTCTCTTTCTCTCTTCCTCTATCACGCTCTCGCTCCCAGCTTTTGACTCGCCTTTCATGCTCAATTTTGGGCCCCATCCAGCACGACTCGCGAGAAAGGTCAAGCTAGATTATTAAAGGCCTAACTACCCTACCCGGCCTTGCAATAATATGACATTTATAGATCGTAACTCTTTATATAGGCTTTTGTTTTTAGGAAGCGAAAAGAAGAGAGGGAGAAAGCGAGAGAGAGAATGAGAGAGAGATAGAGAGAGAGAAAGAGAGAGAAAAAGCCAGATTTTCGATTCACTCCCATCTTTATCAAAGAATTCCTTACCGGATTTTCGCCACGAAAAGCCGCTTTTAAAGCTTAACCCGATTCACACCTTTCCAATGGTCTCTAAAAAATCCGATAATTTCCTAGCACGATTTGGGGTAATTTCGAGTTATTTTGGCATAATTTTAGATCTCTGGACGAAAGCATCTCTATTTTCCAGCCCTCTTCCCGGTTGCCCCTAGTTGGACGTGAGGTGTCAGAATTTCTAAATACTACACTCTCCAGGTTCTATCTCTCTCTCGCTCTCCCTCTCGCTCTCTTCCTCTACAACCCGAAAGCTTGATCTCTGGGAGGCAGCCGATTTTTGGGCCCGTGTTAGGGGGCCCGGTGGGTCCTATTTTTTGAGGTGCACAAACCTCCCCTTTTCTGCCCATATGGCCCATGATGGCCATTCTGTCGCGAACAATGCGAAGGCGGGGGTTTTGGCGGGGATGTGGGACTTTTGCAATTCTGTTCCTTTGACCCTAACTTTTTGGCGAACATTTCCTGTATGAAATAGATGAATTCGGGCTTAAGCTTAGGCTTAGGTTTAGCTTAGGCTTAGCTTTAGACTCGGCTGATGCTTATGAATATCAAACAATCGCAAAATCAGCTCTCCAATTCCCTCGTTTCTCTCTCCAACTCCTGGTCCTCTCTCTCTCTCTCTCTCTCTCTCTCTCTCTCTCTCTCTCTCTCGCGCTCTCTCTCACTCTCTCGCTCTCTCTTTCTCTCTCTCTCACTCTCTCTTTATTTTTCTGAATGACTCCAAAAATCATACGCAATCCCCGCAAAACAAAAAGCGCAAAACCCCATGATCTTGTTGTCAAGCCACGGCCATCAAACCACAAACCCAACGCGTTAACTCGTACGCACACAGAATTGGCGTAGTTCATCTACCCAAAAAGTGATTGAGGATTGCCCCCCCCCCCCCCAATCCGTCAAAATGTCGTAGTTGGCATTTTTTGGGGGAATTCTGTTGGTAAATAATTGAGAATGCCATGTGTTCGCTAATCCCTAATCCGCACCCTTTGAAGCGAGAGAGAGAGAGAGAGAGAGAGAGAGAGAGAGAAAGGCAAAAAGTCTACAGAAACCCCCAAAAGTGTAGGCAGTGGTGCGTTTTGTGCGTAGTCCTCAATTCTTCTCCTGATTTCTGATAGTTATCCGGGTATTTTTGGGGCGAGTACGAATTTTTCTATTTTTTACTACTGTAGCTAATCCGATTAGACGTTGGTGTAGAGACCGGAAGTAGAGACGGAAGTCTTGCAAATTCTGGAACCGGATGGATGGATTTATCAGAGATCAATTTAGTATATTTCAAAATTACATTAACTTTCTAGGTTCTTTTGCATTATCGGGGGGGGGGCGGCTTTTTCCGTAGCATCCAAACTTTAAACGAACATTTTTGACAATAATTTCGATTCTAGAAATAGCTGAAAGTTTTATTGGTTATTTTCACGTGAAGTATAGTAAATTTTGCTCAAAACACTGTTAGAATATCTTGGATTAAGCTTTTAAGCTTTTCTGGACCATAGAACGTCCCCGCCCCCGATAATGCATAAGAACCGCTTGGATAATAGAATCTTTGAAAACCGTAAATTTCACTCCCCACAAATGTCTATAAAATGAGGAACCGGAATTCCGGCCGAGTTTCCCGGAATTTCTGGGGTGCAAAAACGTGCCAATGTCGAAGGAGGTCTCTCTTTCCCCAGATGTCCCCACCTGGATGGCAATGCGATTTTGGGTTGTTTTGTGTCCCTTAGGGCCCACAGAGGGCCCTGGGTCCCAGACTTTTTAGGGCCCTCGCCCGGGATCGGGGTCATTCCGACGGGGCCCTTCCTCATCCCATCTCGTCAAAGTGTCCCCTCCATCGCTTCACCATGCCCTCCCCCACCCACATCTAGAATGGCCAGGGGGATGAATCACTTCCGATGGGGGCGGGCTTGGTCAGCTACGATTTTTGGGGCTTGAAGCCTAAACCTAGCCCTAAGCCTAAGCCTAACCTAAGTCCAAGCCTATGCCGAAGCCTAAGCAAAGCCTAGGCCAAGCCTAAGCCAAGCCCAGCCAAGCCTAAGCGAAGCCTAAACTAAGCCTGAGTCAAGCCCAAGCCAAGCCGAAGCCAAGCCCAGCCCATCCAAGCCTAAGTCAAATCTAAGCCAATCCGACGCTTCAGCCTAAGCTAGGCGAATTTTTGCTCATCTTCGTCTTTCAGAACCGTTTTGAAGCTTTTTTCTTCCCTCTTGACGCCCAAAAGAATTTTGCAGGCCATTCTAAAATGCCCTCCACCCCTATAAGACCAACCTCCCGATTCCCGGGCCAAGGTCAACATAGCCAAACTCGTCGCCACCGGCTTTAGCCCCAAAATTGCAAAGAATTTGGGCAGAATCGGGGTCACGTGCCCGAGGACGTGTCATTTGGAATAGAATGGAATGGATTGGAGAAGAATGTCGCATCTTTTTGTATTGTTTCGAATTCGGCTATGCTTTGACTACGTGGCACTCCTATGGACACTTCTGGAATCGCCTGGAATATACGGCTATTAACGTATTAATGATCGGTTTTCTGCGCGTTTTCAGCACGACATGATGCGCCCGGGCCTGATAAAAATACAACCATTTTCGTCTAGTTCATCTTGTTTTCCCCCTCCTTTCGGGCCCCGCCCTTCTCGTACCGAAATTCGCAAATCATCACAACGCCCCGTTTTTCTGTGCCATCTAATCGAGGGATTACCTCCCTAGCCGACCACCCCAGATCCCCCCAAAATCCCACCTTCCTTCCCATCCACTCCCCCTCCACCTCATTCTCGATTTTAAGCCCCCCTCACCCCTTACCTCGTGTTTTTGTGAATTGAATGGGATTAGCAGGTGGGGACCGTTACTCATTCGAATCCGACTCATTACGAGAACGGTCTGGTGGATCTACATTTTTCGATTCCGTTTTGGAGTGTACTTTGGGCGTCGGTTTGGGATTTTCTGGTTAAATCAAAGTTATAGCACTTAAGGATACTATATTGTGCTCCGAAATTCAGCTAGATCCCCCTTTACGCCACTACTAGGTACAGGTTGGCCACATTCCGAAACACTCATATTTACGCCAGGCTTCGATGTTGTTAAAGTCGAAGTCATTCCGAGGCGTTACTGTGTACGCTAGACGCTTGTTTAGTGTGCAGTATCCAGGTCACCCGCATTCCGAAACATTCCTTTTTACGCTATACGACTCCGCTACAGTACTGGGAATTCGCTTTGAACGCATTTCTATTCCGCGACTCGGATGCCTGTATTACGGAGCTAAAGCGGTCGATTATGGTCAGCAGGGAAAACTCGTAGTAGGCACAATTCCCCTTTACCTTAGCGACTTTCTAAAGTTTATTTCGTTTTCCTTCAGCGCAAAATAATTGCAAGTCCGCCCGAATTCTCTTCACGCACGCTCTTTCAGCTACAGTAGCGGAATCGGAACAATTCGGAAGCGCGAAATATCGTTAATTCCACGCCAATACTCCTTACGGAAGCTTCTCTCTCACCCTCTCTCTCCATTTCTAATCCTTACATCATCTACGTAGACCCAAGTTTTTTTCCGAAGCTGGCACGATGCCAATTCCTCGATCTTCGAGAACTACCCTTGGGTTGGGTCCTGTTTTGCCGATTGCATCCCCGTGGCCCGTTCTATTGTGACCAAGACAATACCACTCCCCCCCGTCCGAAATGCTACACCCTCCAACGCGCACCCAGGGAATACCACCTTCCACTGCCGACCGAAGACTGGCTTCTCCCCCCCACTACATGAAGCCCTTTTTTGCCTTTTTTGCGTATTGTCTCTGGCAATTCCAGGTACCACCTACCCACTGGAGTACAAATTCCAGTTTTTGCCCTTACCGCCTGCCACGGCCCGAGTTTTTGTCTTTGCGGGGGATTGGGGGATTGCTTACATTGTAAGCTGGTCCTCAATGGTGAGCTTCCGGTTTTTAGGTGCACTTCTTTCCATTTTTCCGTTTTTTTCCGGATGCCTCCTTGTTGTCGGCTCTTTCGGATTCCATTTTTCGCTTATCTCGGATTTATCGTATTTTTTCGTAATCTGCCGAACTCAACCTTTCCGGCTTTTCCGGATTCCTTCATCCGCTCTTCCTGAGGACTTTTCCCGGTCTTCCGATTTTTTTTTGATTGCAATTTTTCAGTTTTTCCGGATTTATCATAATTTTGGCGTACCCGATACAATTATTTTTGGCTTTCCAAATTTTTCCGTATTGGGAAGCGTAGTCTGGTATTTTCGCTCTTTCGGATTCCGTTCTTTACGCCTTTACGGATTGTTTTATTTTAGTTATATCCCTATAAGAAGCTAAGAAATTAAATTAAAATATCTTTCGGAAACCTCGCAAAAAGCCGAACTTTTGGACTGCCAACCATTTAGCTTCGGCTTCTCCTCAAATTCAGCAAGGTCAAGGAGCGGCCGGGAATTTTGAATAGCTTTTTTTGGCCGGAAATTTACCAAAAGCGCTTTTGAAGGTTAATTTGAATTTCTGACGATTTCTGAGGTCATGCAGACACACTAAAAAAGTTCAAAGATGTCTACTTTCCTTGCCCATTTTCCGAGCTATCTTGCCAAATTCGCAATTTTTACGGTGGTTTTCATATCCGAATTTCACCCCAGATCTCGCTACATTTTTTCACAAAACCCCTCGGCTGGCCAGGTTTCTTGACCTCTTGCAAATCGGAGTGTCTGGTTGCCCTATTCTTTGGCTTCCCAAACCCTTTAATCGTCTCCCCCTTGGCCGGGAAGGACTTTCACCCCACTTTTGCACCCATTCCCTTGCCTTACTAAAGACGCCTCGATTTACCTTTGACCCGACCTTCACGTTTCGGGGGTTTTCACCCTCTTGAGTCGGTGGGGTGAATTACTATACCATCCAAGATACCTGTCCAATTTTCTGCCCTCGCCTCGGCGGTCGTGACGTCGCGTTGTCGAACGGAATTGTTTTTCCCTGTTTTTGGCATAATCGAAATTGAACCGTATACGGGAGCGATTCGTCATAGCTATCCAGGAAATTGGTATACGCCCTTGAAATAAGGAATCCGCGTTTTTCACGCATCAAAAATCACTCAAAATTACGAAATTTACAGAGTACGGTGGCAAATATATTAAAACATTTGCTTAAACCATTGTTAGAATCACGAAAAATTTATAAAAGGGTTACGGTAAAATTCCCAACGCAAAATCTACGTTAGCATTTGTTTTAGTACTTACAAAAGTCTGCTAGTTAGTCTCCCATTTCCTCAAAAATCTTTGCTAGCTTACCCGACAAACTCAAGATGACCAGGTTTTGCCGAACTTTTGATCCCACAATCTTTCCCAATCCCCAGGGACCTCTGCTAGCTCGCCTTCCAATTTTAATACCTTGCCAAAAAGGCGTTGTTTCCTCAAAGAACTCTGCTCGTTGACCTCCCGTTTCCACAGAGATCTCGAGACATCGTCTGTCATGAATCATTGAAATCCTCAAAAAGCCATATTTTCCTCTTTCAAATAAAGATTTGAGTGGGACTCCTTCAAACACATTTAATATCTCCAAATTTGCAGGCCGCTCGACGATGCGCGTGTCGCGGAATGCGCGGACGACGCTGTCGATGGACGAGACGGTGGAGAGGGGCAGGAAGGTGTCGCAGGACGCCATCTCCCGCAAGACGTCATTCGTCAACGCCAAGATGGTGGGTTGAAGTTGGGATATCATCTATCGCGGACCTTTTAAAGGAACTAGGCAACGAAAAAATCGACCCCTTCTAGCGACTAGGCCTAGACAGCTACCCGATATACCAAATTACGCATTGACCAGGTTGCTTTAACTAGCAGAACTAGTCGCGGAAGCAACAATTAGACGTATTCTTGTGCGTGACGTAAATATCGAGACCTAGTGAAAGGAAGGGTTTCGATTTTTATGCACCTCGGGACTTTTAAAGGTGTTTAGAAGCGGGAAAATCGACTCCTTCGATCGTCTAGGCCTAGACCGCTCGGCGATACACTATGCAGCACCCTAAATTCCTTTCTATAGCTATAAAACCCTTCGCACAAACAAGAATCCATGTGTCTTTTGGTGTACCATGTAGCTGTCGAGACCTAGCCAACTTAAATGGTCGATTTCTACATTTTCCGGTCTCTTTAAATCGATCCCACCCTCCAAAAAATGGGTTTGACGCAGCGTGCCCAGATTCCGGGAATCCTAACGCCCTCCCAGGCCCACGCGCCCAAAAATCAGGGAAAATGCCTGAATAAAATGGTAATTGCGGCTACAATTTGGTGGGACCCAATTTGACAAGCCGCAGGGTCTCAGGGCAATGCCAAAAAATCGTGTTATACCCCCGAGATTGGCGAAGCAATACGGTAGTTGGGGCTATGCTGGATGCTTAGGTGCCGAGATTTCACATCTGCCGGATACTAGGAGAAGCTGCCCTCACAAGTCAAATCAGGCCGCCAACTTCCTGTTGACGGCGTCTAGTGTACTTTTTCCGAGACGCCTTAACATTTAGGGGTTCCTCAGGGGATAATACTCACAGAGGATTAGATGCTGACATACTCTTTTCAGCACCAACTCCAACTGAAATTTCCATTTTACAAAATTCTGTTTTGGCGTTTTACAAATCAATATTGTCATTTTTAACATAGCGCTTTATATAGTTTTTATTGCATTACTTTCCCAAAGAAGTTTTTTAGATTCATTCGCCGAATTTTAGAGCTTGAATTTATGCGAATGATGATACTGACCACACTCCCTATAAAACCCAGATACTCTATCTCCCCTCTTCGCGTCCATGGTAAAGGAATGGAATCGAGAGAATGGGAAGAGCTGCTCTCCATTCCGGAGCCCCCATTTGCTTTTTGCCAGCCACCCTCAATTCAGAGGAACGCCGGAATTTCGTTATTCATTGTACTGGGTAGTACCCAGGGTTGGTCACGCTGGATCCTAATCGGATCCGGACCGGTCCGGGGGTCGGTCCGGTCCGGTCCGGTCCGAAATTTCCATCCGGACCGGACCGGACCGGACCGGACCGGACCGGACCTGTCCGGTCCGTGGCGGACCGAGGGGCTTTGATTTGCTAGGAGAAACGGAAATGCAACATGCAAATTCGGAATGCAAGAGTGGCGTACCAAAAATGCGCTGTGGTTCGCTTAATCAAATGTATAAAATTATTCCTCCCCCATTAATTTTTGGCTATATACGCGACGGCTAGTAGCCTAGATTTGGAAAAATATGTCAAATTCTTCGCGGTAGTATTTTGCATACAAATTTTCCATATCTGGCTCCTGAATCATGTCCTTCGTGTTCAGACGGACCGGACCGGTCCGGTCGGTCGGTCCGGTCCGGTCCGGTCGATTCTCGGATCCCTCGGACCGATCCGGACCGGACCGGACCGCGGACCGTCCGCGGACCGGATCCTTTGTGACCAACCCTGGTAGTACCTCATTTATTTTTGAAATTAATTTGACTTTTCTTTGGCAATAACGAACGCTTTTTAGAAAAATTCTTAACAAGTTTTGGCCTTTTCAGGGTTATCTTAGATTAAGAGAACTAAAAACTCGAAATGCTATTTTTTTCGTCAATACGAGCACCTTTTTGTAGATTCCTGACTGACAGACTGTAGGTTCAAAGGTTTTATGCAAAGCAAAACAATATTAAAAACGGTGGTAAAATGCGGGAAAATCGTCTGGCTTCGTGGCTAGGGGGTCTAATTATGGCCCTGGCCTGGGTTGGGGGCTGCAGCCCCGGACAACACGGAACCCGAAACAAATTAGTCCTAGAAGCATTGGCTGTCGGGGGTATCGCTTTTGCAACCTGGAATGTAAAGCTCAAAATATTTCTCAATTCCACATCGGGTCTCTGCCAGCTTGGCCTGTGTTTTAATCCAAAAATTTTGGGTTCGAGAAAAATCCTTGCTAGCCAGCCTGTCGATTCGCCAAGAATCTCTGCTAGTTCGCCCTCCTTTTCCGATAAACTTGGGTGCCTACGGAACCCATGCTAGCTTGCCACGAGTCAGTAAATTTCCGCAAGAATCCTTGCTAGCTTGCTCTCCGTTTGAACCCAAACATCTTCGCTGCTAGTTGTTCTTCTAATTACACAAGGAATTCTACCAGTTTGCTCTATATCACTATTTGCCCAAAAATTGCGTTTCCTGAAGAATCTCTGCTAGGTTACGTTCCAAGCCTAAAAAAATTTTTGTATAGCTTCCCGAGAATTTGGATAATTCCGATGGTCCATGCTGGCTCGCCCTAAGTTGAAAATGCCTAAAAAAACCGAGTTCTTCCCAAAATATCTCTGCTAGCTCCCCTCCAGTCGACTTAAAAGCCCTCACTTCCAAGAAATAACGGCCATTTTTTAGCCTTTCCCAACCCTCCGGCTAATTCTTCTGATTGGCTTCGTTGTTGTTTGCAGCGCATTCCTCAAGGCAGAGAGCGAGATAGAGAGAGAGTGAGTGACGGAGACAGTGTAGAAAAGGTCGACCCGGGGGTCCGAGCGGGTTGGTCCCTAAGGCCTTGAGTCAAGCGGGTCCCCAGCGGGCAAATACCACTTCACACCCATCCACACCCTCACCAGGAACCCCTTCAACTATTCTAACCCGCGTGGTCCATGCATTACTTTGGACAGTTTTGGACAGTCTTAGGCTGTTTTTAAATGGTTTTTGCTAGCTTGCCCTCAAAAAATTTTCGAACTGTCTGCTAGCCTGTCGAAATAGATTTTCACGAGTTACGGTTTTTTTAAAATTTGCTATTTTAATTTATTTTTGAATTTTTGCGTTTTCAAATTCTGACCTTTTCAAAGAATCTCTGCTTGATTGCCTAGATAAATTGAGCTCTAAGTTTCAGTTTAAGTTTAAGCTAAATTTTATAGTTTCAAATATTCCAGTCTGTTCTTATTTTTTTGCGTCACAGCTTATTTTTGAAGCAGCAGATATCCACTAAATTAACTTTTAAAGGTATTAGGACAGGTTAATCTGTTTTTTCTATCCTATTCAAGCTAGCCGGAACAATTTTGACAAGTACCAAGGCCGGAATCAAACGGAACTCTTCCCTGAATAGGGCCGCCAGCCTCCCAGCCAAGCTTACCCGTTTACAACCATCAACCCCGGTCCGAAAACCTGATTTTTACAACCACCCACCCCAGCCCCCCCGGGGTCTGCACGGAATCAAAATTCTAATTTTTGCCCCCCAAAATTCCTTACTTGGCATCCCCGAAAATACGTGGAGATTGCGGGTTTTTGTGAGGGATAATTAATCTCTCTTGAGATTGGGGAGTTCTGGGTCGCTATTCTTGTGGGTTGATTGGATGGGAACGGGTTTTCAGGGGGCCAAAAAATGTCAATACAAAAAAACTGCAAAAATTATCTTGAAATGGGTCATTCCAGGTGTCGTCCCTTTAAAAAGTCACTCCATAAGGCTAGCCGATTGTAAGCTACAATATCACTGTCACTGCCCCTTTAAAAAGTAATTTCTGGCTGTCACTATCCCTTTAAACCTTATGAATTCGGATAGTCACATCTATGCCTAAGCCCAATCCTAAGCCCAAGCCGAAGCCAAGCCAAAGCCAGGCCTAAGTCAAGCCAAAGCCAAGCCTAAGCCAAGCCTAAACCAGAACAAGCCTAAGCCTAATTTAAGATTGCGTCTAGCCATCCTAACCTCCCAAATTCCGCTACACACCCCTTAACACCAGCTTGTTTTCGTTATAGTGAAAGGCCTTACCCGGGTAGCGGTTTTGTTCCCCCCGGTCGGCTGGTTCCGCCCCCATCCTATAGACGGCCACCCACCCCCCTCCTATGCAAACGTTCCAATTAGAACCCACAACCCAACCACCCAGCCAGCAGCACCACCCCTATCCCCCCTTCTCTCTACCACTATTCCGTCTGAATACATTCTTCCGCGTTCCGTTCTGATCCTAATTACGCCTCGGGATTCCCCGGGATTCGAATTATCTTTTGAAAAGCCATCGAAAAATCTTATGATTTGCAATTCATTCAAATATCGCAATTAGGCCACGGGGTTGGTCACCTTTTTTTTAATGAGCTAGGCTTTGCGCGTGAAAATTGGATTTTTCAGGGTTTTTACAATTTGCTAAAATTCTACCGTTTTCGATTCTTTTTTGAGTTAGTTTATTTATGTACAAAGAGATGACCTTTAAGGGATAACCTATATGCTAATTAGGGATGAAAAAATCTTTTGTTTAGTTTTAAGCGTTTTTAACGGTCGGGTTTCTGAAAAATCCCTTATGCTTTAGCCGCTTCCAGTTCCTTGTATTTTTAAATTCTTTGGAAGTCGTTTAAACCTGAATAAATTTGCATCTTTTTTGAGAAACCACCAAAAATTACAAATCCTCGGAATCTTATATTTTTTTTTTTTTTGTTTTTTTGTGGGTGTGGTTTTTTGTTTTCTTTTCCTTTTGTTTTCCCTTTTTTTTTCTCTGTTTGGGATTTTTTTGGGGGGTTTTTGGTGGGGGATTGGTTTTTTTTTCGTTTTGGGGTTTTTAATGAAAGATTTAAAATATTTAAAATTTTTAAAATTTTTCCTTTTTTAAATTAATTTTTTTTAAAATATTATTTTTTGTTTATAAAAAAATTTCACTGGGGGAGGGAAGGGGAAAAAATAAAGAAGAGGAAAAAAAAGAGGAGTTTTTAGTTTTTTTTTCTTTTTTTTGGTTAATTATTTAAAAGAAAAATGAAAAAGGGACGGG